AAGGTGTAGAGCTGGATGAACACAGCAGGCCAAGCAGCATCACAGGAACAGGAAGGCTGACGTTTCGGGCCTAGATCCTTCAGTCCAAAACATCAGCCTTCCTGCTCCTGTGATGCTGCTTGGCCTGCTGTGTTCATCCAGCTCTACACCTTGTTATCTCAGATTCTCCAGCATATGCAGTTCCTACTATCTCTGATACAGTCTGTAGCTACTATCAGCTACTGTATATGTTGTTACTAATTTAAAATAGGTTGAAATAAAATGTCACTTGTAGGAACTAGCATGGATACAACAAAAAATTGAGTGGTCTCCTTTTGCTCAATGTCACTAACATTCAGTCAACATTTGGAGAATTATTTATTCCTTACATTTTACCAGAGTTTAAAAAATGAAGGAGATCTCATCAAAACCTATGAAATCCCAACAGGCCTAGACTGGAGAAAGGTGGGAAGGATATTCCTGATGACTGGAGAGTCTGGAACCGTGGGTCACAGCTTAAGGATGCTGGAAAGACCATTTTGGATTGAGATCAGGAGAAATTCTTCACTCAAAGAGTGGCAAGCCTGTGGAATTCTCTGCCACAGAAGTGGCTGAGGCCAAAACGTCTGAACGTTTTCAAGAAAGAAATAGGTGTACTTCTTAGGTCTAAAGGTAACAAAGGATGTGGGGAGGAAGTGGGAACAAGGTACTGAATTGGACGATCTACCACGATCATATTGAATGGCAGTGCCGATTGGAAGGTCCAAGTAGCCTACCCTTGCTTCTATTTTCTGTGTTTCTAACTTCAAAGGCGATTAATTTTGTCCAACTGTTCTGACACACTCCTCTGAAAAGGCAGGAGAATAGCTGCGATTGAGTCAGCTGTGTTCAATTGCAGCCAAGCGATACAAAGAAGGAAAGCAACTAATTAACTGAATTAATGAGAAACTTGGGGAGCATTTATCGAACACAGTTTCCTGAAGTTTGGAGACGACTAGTTGGTTGGCAAATCAGGAGCCACTGATGCCTTCACTCCAGCTCCAAACATGACCTGACAGCTATGGCCATGTGGGATTTCTATTTTTTTTTTGCAAAGCTACAGAAATCATCTCCATTTTGAGGTGTCATAGCAATTTGTCTCACTCAGTAGTCCCCACCTACCCATGGGGTTGAGAGTGAAGCGACTCAGACCTCACTACTGTTCTTTTAATTAGGATCACCCTTTCCTAGTCTGACCACCATTTATTGTTTGTTACGGCACACAGGGACAACTTCTTAATTTCCCCTCCTTCAGGGAAGATTGAGAATGACATGCTGCCAGAACTACTTCTGGATTCCTGATATTGGAAGTGAAGGTCAACCAAAAAAACTCTGCCATCTAACTTTTCAGACCTTTCATCAGAACTGAGAAATGTTAATGAGCTTATAGTTTATAAATAAGAACAAAGTGAGAGGAAAATAAATGTATAAAAATGAACTCACTGTTGGTCAGTCCATGAGCTTAGAGTGATCTTGAGGTAAATTATCCAACATCACACCTACCTTCTAATGCAACAGTGTCTGCCATATCTGGGAACTTGCCCAGCACCCTGTTCAATGCTTGTGTGAATTTGCATACACTGCATGAGCTGACAAGCTATTCCGTGACCAATAACCCTGCAATTGAACTAAATAGTTGGTTAAAAACACTAAGCACTGATTTGATTTATGTAATCGAACATTGAACCATTCAGAAATCATGCTGCGTTTTTCATGTAGTCATAAATGTTGATCAATGTTCAGAACGTCTGCAGTGAGATCTCCTTTATTTTCAGTAGTGCATGTAATCCTGGGATCTGTAACATTCAATCAGTCACATCCTCATGGAAGTAGATAGTTGACAAAGCAATACAGAGATGATGCCTAACTGCTCATGAAAACCTGCTGAGGGTAGCAAGTGAAATAAAACAACAAACATGTAGCTCATAGTGTGGAGCTTCAGAACGGGCCTGACCTGAAACATCAGCTTTCCTGCTCCTCTGATGCTGCCTGGCCTGCTGTGTTCTCCAGCTCCACACTGTGTTATCTTTGACTCCAGCATCGGCAGAACTTACTATCTCGAAACATGTAGCTCATTTATTTTAGAAAAATGAACTGAATAGGTTGCAGATATGGATTAATATTATTTAACTCATAAGCTAAGACCCTAGAATTGCTATTTAAGCTCAAACAAAATAGACACAGGCTTGAATGATCAAGTGAATAACAAGTATCTCTAATATGCTGACAGTAGATTAGGATTTTATACAATGTCTGATGGAAGTAAATTCTTGCCATGTCTTTTATTGATCTCTACACAGATTACAAGTTCCTGGCTGAATTTAGAGTCTTCAAGTAATAATCATTAGTGCAATCTTTCTAACTCTTGGTTGTGTATGGACATTATATTAAATCCTTTCTAAAGTAATTAGTACAATATGGCATTTTTCTCTACTCAACTATGTTAAATGGAAGAGAAAAAATTCTGAAAGATAGAACTGGAAATGCACTCTTCATGGACAGATGTAGTGTTCAACATAGTGTTACACATAGTGCTGATGGAAATCTTCACTATGGATGAACAAATAACCGCAAAAACTTCAGAAGGACCTACAACAATAGATGAAAGTTTAATAATTAATCCTGAAATCATCACCAATCCTAGAGAAATAACAGTCGCCCTGATCTTACCTGATCTGTGAGTTATCAGCTAACATGCTGAAAATGATACTTTTGTAAGAATAAAGCTGCTTAAACATTATACATGACTTTATTACTGTAATTTTAACCTTATTCGTGTGCAATTTGCATTTAGAAGTTAATTTTAAGTAAAACATTTTCAAGCATTTAACCATTTGACGAATACTTCATTCTTCTTCTAATTTTAGATATATTTTCATCAATATGACCTAATCAATCTATTTTAATTTTATTTTCTCATAAAATAATTAAGTTTAAGCAAATGTGATTTTTCTACCTCCTCTTACACCCCAGTTCCCAAAGTCCATTTTAGATATTGGAAATTCCAAAAAAATTCCAAAACGGGTTTGATTCGTTGAACTGACTGTCAAACACTGATGATTGATTCAGTGGTGTTAAGCACTGATCTCACACTTCCAACAGAGCTACAATCGAAGAGAACACAGGTCAGAAATAGGAATACAATACTGATGCTTCCATTCTCATTGCCACTCCCTGCAAGTATAGCTTCCTGTTAGGAGTGCTGAATTTGTCATGTAGGCGCAACAATGTCATAATATTACATCTGGAAAAGTGTCAAATGTAGAAGAACTGCTAATGGTTAACTTGTGTTGATGAACAAGAGTTTAAGGTTTGATTATATGTGAAGATTGAATGTAGAACTTTTCAGTAGCTGAACTGTATTGAGATGCCACAGCACTGGTTAACCTTTGAAGACTGTAACTTTATACTATTTAAAGGTTTTACATTTGCATTATTTTCAGGTGCATGATTCTAATCTTCCTCCTAGGATGTAGCTGTTCCAATTAGACAATACGGAAAATTATCGCCCAGCTTTATGCCACAATGTATTCACTAAAATTATCATTTACAATGTTAGCAATGGATCAACCATTCACTCGCTCACCTCTGAGTCAAAAGGTTGTGGGTTCAAATTAGAAACTTGCGCACTAAAGTCCAGGCTGTGAAACTTGAGGGGGTGCTGTATTTTTGGTGGAGCCATTTTTGAGACAAGATATTAAACTGAGGCCCTATCTGCAATCTTGGCTGGATGCAAAAGATCCCGTAAGCACTTTTTGAAGAAGAGCAGACTGGTTATTCCCCAGTGCCTTGGCCAATGTTTATTCTTCAATCAATGTTACAGCATAAGAAGATTATCTGATCATTATCGTGTTGTTTGTAGGAGATTGCTTTACGTATTGCCTGCTACATTTCCCAAAATACAACAGTGACTATACTTCAAAATTAGATAATTGGCTGCAAATAGCTCTCAGATATTGTAAAAGTCACAATTAAAATGCAGGTCACTTCTCTTTAGTTCTTTAAAGTTTAATATAAAAAGAGTTGTGCAATATACATGCATAACTAAATTTAAAACAAATGCAAAACATTTCCAGATATTGGACATCTGGAATAAGAATGGATAATTCTGGAAATACTCAACAGGTCCGGCAGCTCAGTCAGGAGAGAAAAAGAGCAAAGATTTCAATGGTGACCTTCCATTTGGACTGGGAAAGGTTTGAGCAAGTAGAGGGAAGAGTAGAAAAAAGTACAAAAAGGATTCTGTGATAGTCTGAAAGGCAAGAAGCTTGCAAAAGATTTCCTGGCTTGAAAAAGTGATTGTGGCACAGGTGAAGAAATAAATGGTAAGTCTTGTTGAATTGAGAATGCAGGATTCTGAATAGCTGCCGTGTGAAAGCAAGATAAAGGAAATAGAGAAATTCCAAACCTTCAAGAAAAAAACAAAACAAAATAGGACGAGAGTAATGATTTAACATTTTTGAACTTTGTGTTGAATCCAAAACTACAAAGTTCCCAATCAAAAGATGAGGTGCCTGCTCTTTGACACACCCAGTTTGATCTTTACTGATTTAGTGCTGGTACAGCTGATTATATATTGATATGATTGTGTACACTTATCAAGCCCTTTTTAAGGTTCACCATAACTTATTACATAGAATTGTACTATATCTTTGTTTAACTTTAAAGATCTCTGAATTTTCCATTCATGTCCTAGGTACTGTTTTCCATTTGGACGACCAGAAGGTGCACTAAAAGCCACGCTCTCTTTGCTTGAAAGGGTATGTTCAAATTATAATGGAAGTGTATTCTTAATAATTGGATTTGTTTTAATAGCTTTCCCCTTTGTTACATGTCGCTTACTGGAGGTGGTTCGGAAGTCATGTAGACACCAAGATTTGTTTCTTTTACGCAAAGCAACTTTTTACAACTGTGGTGGAATTTATGTTTCATGATACCACAGTTAGTTCTCTTAACCATCCAAATGTATTTGGAAAGGTTTCAATCAGTAGATAAACAAGTATGCTTCTAGGCTCCATGAATTAAAACCTTTTTTTTAAATTTCCAGCTATTGTTTATACACAGTAAAGTAATATCCTTTGGCCAGATTATTCTTCAACTAAGTTCAGAAATTCCTGTTTTACCGATAATTCCAGACATCAAATTCAGGGCATGCGATAGGTGCCATTTTCAGTTTGTCAGTCCAAGCATTGACAAGTAAACATGTGGTGGCCAAAGTATTCAAAGGGAACCATTTTGTAATGCAATAAGTAGCTTTGGTACTGTTGGCTGCAATTCGGTGGGGACTTCCATTATTTTGACCATTAAGGAGGAGCTGTGAACAATTAATTAGTTTTAGCTAGCAGGTGCAATTACAATAAAAAGTTATGGATGGAGTCAAGAGGCTTTAATATGTTTGTCAATAAGCAGAATCATTGTACATAGATAACACTGGTCAGGCCACAAAAATCATCAGCGCAATGTTGCAATTGAAAATTGGATGCATCACAAGAGTAGAACTGATACATGAGGAAAGATCGTTTGAACACAGTCTCTGACATTGATGAGACATTTTGAGAACAAAGTGTTTGCAGACACCAACAATCCGCTGATAAATGTCAACTGCACATGCCCATTTTTGATCTTCCTCATTCTGTGCATGTGTATGCACATGCACAATAAAAAAGATGATTTGAATACTTTTTTAAAAATCTGCTTTGCTTAAGATCTGTTTCACATTTACCAATATACTCTTTCATTCAGTTCTTTTCAAGTGTTTGCTGGCTTATTTTGCTGGTTTTTTTTAATGTGTCTGGGGTGGCAGCAGATGCAGCCTTTTGAGAACCGTATATTTTGTATATACAGTACCTCAAACACTTTTAGTTAATTTGGTAGGGGCAGAGTAATAGATGACGATAAATTGATTACCCTGTGACTCTTCACCTAAAAAAGGGAGGACTAAGAGCGAATATGATGGAAGTCTTTAAATTTTTGCTGTGCTTGGAAAAATGAAATCCAGGTAAACACTTCTATCATGTACATAATTTAAGCAGAAGACATTATGATTACAAATGAAAGGTATAAAGCAAAGATGAAAATGCAGCTTTAAGAAATGGATGAACGTGGACCTGATTACCATCACCAGCACAGAAATTAGGAAGCTTAATGGTTTCATTAAAAAAGGGGCTTTTTTTGGTCAATGAGTGGTATTTATGGTTATTAAAACAAACCTAAAGACATACTGTAGTTGGGAGAAATAGAAACATAAAGTGGTAGGAATACTCAGAAGCTGCAAGTGTGGAGAGAGAAATACATTTAATATTTCAAGTCCAACATGACATCATTGGAATGTTCCCATCTCTTTTGTTTAATCCACCTAACAGGATACTATGGGTAATTTAGTATGGCCAATCCACCTAACCTGCACATCTTTGGACTGTGGGAGGAAACCAGAGCACCAGGAGGAAACCCATGCAGACACAGGGAGAATTTGCAAACTCCACACAGACATTCACCCAAGACTGGGATTGAACCCAGGTCCTTGCCACTGTGAGGCAGCAGTGCTAACCACTGAGCCACTGTGCTTGCTGTTTTGCACTTGCCACCTTCATGAAGAGTGGATTTATGTTAAAAGTAGGGGTGAAAAATATCCTTGTGGAACATAAATGCTGTTCAGTTTCAAGTGAGATAATGTACATTTCTTAAAGGCAGGGAGCAATAATTAGTTGCTCAGTTTCTGTTATCCTTATAAAAAGTTCATTCATATAACTGACCTCCTTTTCACTGTCAAACAGCCATAATCAAATTATTAAAACCGAAAGCCAAAGGAACTCAACAGATCTTTTAATTTTTTAATTCTAATTCATTTGTGGGATGTGGCATCGCTGGCTGGCCAGCATTTACTGCCCATCCGTGTTACCCGGGTGGTGGTGAACTGGCTTCTTGAACTGCTGCAGTATTCCTGCTGTCGGTTGACCCACAATGCCATTAGAGAGAGAATTCCAGGATTTGGACTGAGCAACAGTGAAGGAACGGCGATATATTTCCAAGTCAGGATGGTGAGTGGCTTGGAGGGGAACTTGAAGGTGGTGGTGTTCCCATGTATCTGCTGCCCTTGTCCTTCAAGATGGAAGTGGTTGCGGGGTTTGGAAGGTGCTGTCTAAGGATCTTTGATGAATTTCTGCAGCGCATCTTGTAGACAGTACACACTGCTGCTACTGAGCTTCGGTGGTGGAGGGAGTGAATGCTTGTGGGTGTAGTGCCAATCAAGTGGGCTGCTTCATCCTGGATGGTGTCAAGCTTCTTGAGTGTTGTTGGGGCTGCATTCATCCAGGCAAGAGGGGAGTATGCCATCACACTCCTGACTTGTGTCTTGTAGATGGTGGATAGACTTTCGGGAGTCAGGTGGTGAGTTACTCGCCGTAGAATTCCAAGCCTCTGATCTGCTCTTGTAGCCACTGCGTTTAGGTGGTGAGTCCAGTTGAGTTAATGATCAATGATAACTTCCAGGATATTGATAGTGGGAAATTCAGTGATGGTAACACTATTAAATGCCAAGGAGTGGTGGTTAGATTGTCTCTTATTGGTGATGGTCATAGCCTGGCATTTGTGTGGCACGAATGTCACTTGCCACGTGTCAGCCCAAGCCTGGATATTGTCCAGATCTTGTTGCATTTGGACACGGACTGCTTCAGTAACTGAGGAGTCACGAATAGCGCTGAATATTGTACAATTGTCAGTGAACATCCCCACTTCCGACCTTATGATGGAGCAAAGGTCATTGGTAAAGCAGCTGAAGATGGTTGGGCCTAGGACACTATCCTGAGGAACTTCCGCAGATATGTCCTGGAGCTGAGATAACTGACCTCCATCAACCATGGCCATCTTCCTATGTGTCATATATGACTCTAACTATCAGTGTGTTTGTCCCCGATACCCATTTATTCCCGTTTTGCTTGGGCTCCTTGATGCCACACTCCATCAAATACAGCCTTGATGTCAACAGCTGTGACTCTTAACTTACCTCTGGAATTCAGCTCTTTTGTTTGAATCAAGGCTGTAATGAGGTCAGGAGCTGAGTGGCCCTGGTGGAACCCAAACTGGGCGTCACTGAGCAGATCATTTCTGAGCAGGTGCTGCTTGATAGCACTGTTAATGACACCTTCCATCACTTTACTGATGATCGACAGCAGACTAATGGTGTAGTCTTTGGCCGGGTTGGATTTGTCCTGCTTTTTATGTACAGGACATATTTGGGAAATTTTCCGTGTTGTTGGGTAGATGCCAGTGTTGTAACTGTACTGGAACAGCTTGGCTGGGGAGCGGCGAGTTCTGGAGCACAAGTCTTCAGTACTATTGCCAGAATGTTGTCAGAGTCTGTAGCCTTTACACAGTACAGTGCCTCCAACTGTTTCTTGATATCATGTGGAGTGAATCAAATTGGCTGAAGACTGCTATCTGTAATGGTGGGGACCACTGGAGGAGGCTGAGATGGATCATCGACTCGGCACTTCTGGCTGAAGATTGCTGCAAAAGCATCAGCCTTATCTTTTGCACTGAAGTGCTGGGCTCTTCCATCATTGAGGTGTAGCAGCATCTGTAGAGAGAGAAAACAGGGTTAAACTTCCAAGTCTAATATGACTCTCTTCCTAAATACTGAGTTTCTTGAGCACTTATTGTTTCTTTTTATATCAGATCTCCAGCATCCGAAGTATTTTTTTTATTGAGAATGCTGATTATCCTGGTTTCCCATTTCAAGATGCATCTGGGCTGTATTCATATGTTAAAATTATAATGTTAGTAATTTATTCATAATATAGGACAGTGATAGGAGTGCCATGTCTCCATGGGCTCTAAGCCTTTAAGGGTATTTTTCTCCCAACTTTGTTCCCTTGTTCCCTCCTTTCCTACTGGCGTTACACAATACAGAGTGAACATATTCATGAACACCAGATGGACTCCACGACTTTCATGCCTATTGTCAATTTGTTAGTATATAATCTGGATAGTAAGCGTCAATAAGTTGTTCAGTTGCAGTGGACATCACAACCAAGACTAATTCTGGCTTCAAATAATTTTCACATATATACTTCCAGTAGCAGTCAGTGGACAAGTCAGAAGAGAGAATTCAGCACAGATCAGTCTTTTCAAAAGCATGAAGGACATTCCACTCTCGGGTGACTGTCTGTGTGGAGTTTGCACATTTCCTGTGCCTGTGTGAGTTTCCTCCAAGTGCTCCAGTTTCCTCCCACAGTCCAAATATGTGCAGGTTATGAAGATTGGCCATGCAAAATTGCCCTGTAGTGGTCAGGGATGTGCAGGTTAGGTGGATTAGCCATAGGAAATGCGGGGTTACAGGGATGGGGGTAGGGAGGGGAGGCAGGTCTGGGTGAAATGCACTTCGGAGGGGCAGTGTGTACTCAATAGGCTGAATGGCCCACTTCCACACTGTAAGGATTCCATGAAAAGTGGGTGGGGATGTTAGGAGAGAAGACATCATGTGAGGAATTACGTTCTTTATACATTTGCTTATTTCCTTTGATAAAGGTTCTGATGAAAGACATAGCCACTCCTGTGCCACCTGAAGATGTCAAGAAAGTAGTACGAAAATGTCTAGAGAAGGCTGCTTTGATCAATTACTGTCACCTCTCAGAGTATGCCAAAATAGAAGGTTGGTATGTTTTGATATAGTTACCCATGTGGCACGGAGAGCCAATTGAGATTGTGAACGGAACACTTTGTCACAAGTTTTGTTTCCCATTGAACTAACCCAAGCTTCTGAAAATTCATGTTGCTTCATTACAATTTCGGTTGGTGAACTGCAGAATCTTCTTCAATTCATTGCATTAATCTGCCTCATGGGATCTTCTCCCAGAACAGAAAACCTTTTAACAAGCTGCTTTCTTTCTCTAGTCCCTTGTGGAGCCTCGTTAAGTAAATAGCTTATGTGAATTTATTTTTTTTTAAATCATTGACTAATTTACTTTCTCTTCTTTCTGCACTGTTTTGTCATTTCAAGCAGCCAGTGGAAAAGAACCAGGTAATTGGATAGATGCATTGGTTGATGGTTACACCTCTTTAAAATGATTCAGTGCCTAACACTAACTGTCTCTCAGATCCTGTCCTCTACTGGAGGAGGTTGATGGTTATTTGTTTGACTTGCATTCAAATATGATAGAAAATGCAAAGTGCTGTTCTTTATTCAAAATGCCTCACACTATGCTTAATAACTCAAAGGCACTTTTGCTGTTTTGTTGGAAAGGCTTGAGACAGCCTGATCTGTATACAAAAACAATCAGGGCTGATGGTCGAATGCAGTGCTGAGGACGTACTGCGCTGTCAGACGCGACATTCATTTCTGCAAGGATGGATGTTAAAGAGCTCATAGCACTTGCAGGAAAACAAAGGAGTTATGATCAATATCTAGGTCACCACTTGTCCATCAATCATCATGATTTTAAAAAAGGCCAATTTTCTGGGTACCATCCTTGTTTCTGTATTTGGGTTGGCTGAACTTGAATTAGGTGCTACATTGCAATAATGATTGCACGTCAACAAAGTACTTAATCTGTTATAAAGAATTTTAAGAAGGCTGATGATCATGAAATTATAAAAGCAAGTATTTCTTTCTTTTAGTAATCTTTCCTTCAGCCAATGTGGCCCAGTGGTGTGTATCCAATTTCTGACGGAAGTTAATGACAGTGAAAGTCCACATGTAATGGGACAAAGACCCATTAACTGTTGCACTCCCTGAAGAGGATCGAGGTGTCAGGACTTCAAAGATGGAATGGAAGGGATTAGGTTTGAAATTTTCGAGCAAATAATTGTATTTAGAAAAAGAAAGTATTCATTAGGATTATCTTTAAGTAAAGTAAGTGGTAAAGAATAAGTGTAATCATCTCAAAAGGAAACAAGCGTTTTCAAGCGGCACATTGATAAATGACAGAAAAACCCGTATTTCAGAGGAACTGAGACATAGTTGTACTGTAGCCAATCTACTTTTGTTAAATCCAGTGTTATCAAAAACGATTAAGCAAGAGAAACTAAACTGAGTTGTGGGTTGCTACATTGCAGAATAAACCTGGACTGAAAAATTAGGTAGTGGTAATCTACTTCCTCCTGACAAAAATAAACTTCAAAAGTGTTAATTTTACTCCTACTGGTGAAGAGAAAATCAATTGACAGTAATATAACGCTTCAAGAAGAGACTAAAGTGATGGATCCATCTTTCAACTGAGAATTGATATCTATCTGAATTACTGTTCAAGTGCCAGGATATCTTGATGAGCACTTGTTGGAATAAAGATAAAGAGGATCTAATGGCACAAATGCCAAACTGGGAAATTTAACCAGTCAAAAGCAATCTTTAAACAAAGGTCAATGTTAGGATACTGCAAGTTAAATTGACACCTTTTTGTAGTTTGAAAATGATTGGTATCCTTATCCAAGGAAATAAATCATGCCAGATCAAAAATTTTGAAAGATCGGGGTCACAACTGAGAAAAAAATGTAATCCTTTATGTAACTGAGTTCGCACATATGGTAACAACTTTAATTACAGATCACAATTAATAAGCTCCTTTGTATAAGGCTTGTGACTAAAATTAAAAGTTTTAGGGTTGAGACAGAACTGTAAATTTCATAATAAATTGGTGGCATATGTTGATGACACATTTATGAATATAAATTGGATAGCCATGAGCATCAAATTTGCCAAGATTTTGTGAAATGATTCAGTCTACCCTAATAATAATATAAAGATTATTGAAGCTGGGGTGTAACTATAACGTTATTGGTAAATAGGATAAACAGGGAGATGTATAATTGAACAAGATCTGCAGAGATTTAACAACTAGGCATATTAATGTCATCTCATGAGGAATGTAAGGTGAAACACATTGGAGCTAAAAATGGTAAATGTGAATACATGGTAAAAAGTGTATTGTTAAATAATGTGGAGGAAGAAAATTACTTGGATGTACTAATTGGTGAAAAACTGAAAATGTTATCAAATCATATTTAGACGATTATCAACACAAATAAGAGCATCCAATATATTAATAAGTGCTAACTCACACTGACACATTGATGAGATTAATCTCATATGTCTAATTTCCTTTCAATAAATTGTTTCCTGTCAGCGTTGTGTAATGTTCCTTTAGTTCCCTCATTGCCGTGTTTTATTTGAATTGTTGAAGCTTAAATATTCTACAAAGGAATTTTCAGCACATTAAGCTTAACACAGCCACAGAAAACTCTTGAAAATCTTCAAAACCTTTTTATTATTGTTTCCTGCTTTTATCAAAATGCAAGTGCACAGGAACAGCAATATATAATTCAAAAATGGTTCTCAATAAGGGATACATTCTGCTGGGAAGAACAAAAATAGTTAGTGGTAATTAAAGTGAACATTTTTAAATAGGTTTCAAGGACAGAAGACTAGAAGGCAGAATAAATTAAGGAAGTTGTTAAAATGGCACATGAGATCCTATAAACTTCACATATACTATAAAAGCAAGAAAGCTGTGCTAAACCTTTATAAATCCCATTCTCAGTTAGCCCTCCGCTGATCAGTTTTGGATACCAAAGATATCATAGACTTGACAGTACAGAGAAGCTTTACTAGAATAGTATCCTGGACAAGGAACAAGATTAGATGAAGGAGCTAAAAATTATGAATGGTTTTGATAGTATAGATAGGAAAAGTTATTTCTGTTAGCCTGAGAGTCTGTAAACAGAGATAAGCTAACAGGCAAGATAATCTGTAAGATGAGTTTTTTTTTTATTAACAGTGAGCTGTTTGGATCTGGAACATGCTGCCTGAATGTTAAAATGCAAGGAATGAGCAGGAGAATGGAAATCATCACAGAAATCTTTTAAATCCAGACTCCTTCAGTGCTATAGATAATTTCTAATCAACTTGTTCAGAGACATTATTACACTTCTCTGGAGTGGGTGAGACTTGAACCCATGCCTTTACGATTGTGATACTTAATCTGCCATAATTTGGGACCAAAGTATAAAAGGAAATGGTTGAGACTTTTAAAAATACACTTCCTAAAATTTTATTCTGAGGATATATTAGACGCTGACAAGCTCGGATTATTTCCCTTTCCTGCGTGCTTCCGAAGGTGTTAATGGGCTTGCTCTTCATACTGCTGCAGGCTTGTGGTGATGCCATTTCCACAATGGTGTTAGATTGGTATTGGCAAATTGCAGGATTTGTGACTTGATCCGCCAATATCCAAAGGGTATTGGCAGGTGATGGTGATTTTGTCACATTTCATTGGGGTGGCAAATTAGACAGCCTGGACCTCAGCTAGGTCACAGCGGTGTACTTCCATTATTTTAATGACCTCTTGGCTATTGGGAGAACCGTCAGCCAGGCTTTTGTGATGAAGATGTGAAATACCGGGTTGTGACGCAAGACCAAATTTTAAAGATGGTAGCCATGTTGGGGATAAAAAACTGGCATTTATAACTACATTATGTAGCATGGCAGCAAGACGTTGAGACCAGGTATTGCAAGATCTGCTGCTTGCAGGATTCGTTCTGAATGGACTGATCTTAGTCAGATAGCAGATTCCTCTCCGTGGCTTCCATAGTCTTAGCATTTCTGTCTTAGGGAGGGACAAAAGCTCCCATGATTCCTCATCCTGCTTGTTACCCAGTAACCCCTGCTGGATTGTGGGTGATGACAAGGCAAAACTTGCCTGTGATACTCTTTACAAGTGATTAGCATGTTGGCATTCACTTGAATAGTCTTTTACACAATATTTTTCCTTAGTTCTCGTTTATATTAGAAATGGGAATTTAACAAACTAGAATTACCTCAGTTCACATCAGTTACTTCCTACATAGCCTGTATGGTATTCTCCAGTGACATTGAGGAAATGAGTAAAGGCCCATGAGCCAAAAATGGAGTGGCCCACAGTGCTGAGTGTGCTTTGGAAGTTGATGTATAACCTGTAAAGCATCACTGATGAACTGCTCCTCATTATACCTTTAAAAGAATATAACTTCTGGTGTAGCCTTGCAGGAAAAGAGTGGGGAAGTGGGCCTGTTTAAGGTCCTCTTACAGAGATTGAGTGTAGACTTCAAGGTGCCTCCTCCTGTGTTATAAAACATTCTATGATTCTGTTCAGTATCAGCTAATAGTGAGCCAGTTCAACAGCATAGGCAATGATGAGAAATGTGAAAATTGTGTGAGATGCTGATGGGGACATTGGGAGTAACTCCCTGCAACTTTTAACTAAGCTCTAGGCATCAAGATGGGATTCTCACAAGGCAGCAAGTTGTCATTTAAGGGGGATTATTGCTAATTAAAGACCTCATTAAGGCCATAGCTCTCCTCATTAATATGCAACTTTCTATCCAACCACCCACCATGAGCAAACTAAGCACCAAGAATTCTCAACATGGAAGTCAGAGTGAGTACCTGGTGACTTAGCTGTTAGTCATGAAGAACTTCTATGTTGGTCACCACATAATAGCATCTCAGAGCATGATCAATGGGCACCAGCCATATGCACCCCTTGTGTAGCGACAACGGAATCTGATAATGGCGAAGCCCTCAGATCCTCATGGTATCACTCCCTTTCCCTTGCAGGACACTTAGGAAGTTGGCACCCGCCTTTCAGGGCACACCAGATACTGACAGCGAAAGGCTGCAGTAGGGACACTTTGTGAGCAAGGACAGGTGGCAAGCTCACAGATTGGCTCAGGCTGCATCTCGGGGCTGCTCGCTCACTTTCTTAGCATCACTCACTTAGAACCTGCCTGCATGCTCACAGCATTCCTGTCCTGCCCTGCCATGCCATTCCCATTAGTGCGGTCACACAACCAGACAACTTGCCTTGCTGGTCTGCTATCCTCAGTCAAGGGGGTCTGCATCTTGCTGTACAGTAGTATGCCGCATCAGTCTCACACCTGTACCATGTACCAAGAGCATACGCGATAAACACATTGCGTGGGAGCCAGCAAGCAGCCATGCCTCAAAGTCTTAGGGAACAAGTCCTTACTGAAGTCCATGAAGGTACC